TGTATAAAAATTTCCGGTTCATGTTTAATAATTAACTGGTTTATATCTACTAATAGTTCACTATGTATTAGGCTTACCTAGTCTTAGGGACTAGGTGCCATCACGACTCTTCATGAGGGATTTCGGGTCGTGACACTAATCCAAGTACCAAAATTCAAAGGTAGTATTTAATTAGTACTCTATTTCTATTACGTTTTACCAAAATAACCTATAATTTTATATATTTTTGGGCTATAAAAACACGAATAATTTATGCTAAATTTTGAACGACAAAAATATCCCCGTAATATTGATAGATTTTTATGCCCTTAAATATCTAAGTATTTGTTTAATGAAGCAAATTTAAAGTGGATGTAATTGTAATATTCAAGATATTATAATACTATATTAAGCATATATACGTTACTTATTTCTAGCGTCCAAATAGTACAAAACTTTGACGGCCAACAAACATTTATTCTTTTCGATCAAGCAAATCAAATAATGGCTTATGATATCCGTAACTGGTGGGCCAGGTTATTCGACTATACAAGAATGAAGTTCCAATCCCATACCAATCTCACATGGACAAGAATACTTCAATATCAATAACTTTGAGAAACAAGGCGCAATTATGCCGCTCAAGTTCACATAGCAAGTGAAGGCCCATCAATAGTAGCATTCTTGCTTAAACGAAGATCAAAGATACATATATTGCTAGATGGACATCAAGCAGAGGTGTGAAGCTCCTTTCACTTTTGCTCCTGTCCTTCTTGAATAGCAGCAAAAACTGTATGGTATTCTCAAAAACATCTAGGAACTTACTCAACTTCTGTTGACATTATGAAAATGACATATCTACAGTTGATATTTTTGGATTCATGATATTCTTGGGTTACTTCTTGGGGACAAGCACTAAGCATGTGTTTTTTCTGAAGTAAAATGTCACGACCCAAGTTCATGGCATGTATTGTCTATTTTGGGCCTAGGTTCGCACAGATTTGTCTTTTTGGGCTACGCCACATCGAGCCCCAAAAGCGCGCGGTCATGTGAACTTGTGTCATATCACATTCTCACGACCCAAAATCCACAAGTTGTGATGGCACCTAACCCAACCCACTAGATAAGCCAACAGTCACATGATTAACAATTAAAATGAAATAACATGGTCTAATAACTCAACAGCGAAAAAATACCATAAAATATCTAAAAATAAAGTCAAAATACTACTACAACCAACCCCAAAATCTGGTGTCAGCGAGTACACGAACTCTACTGAATAACAATGTACGAAATAAATCCTCTAATACAATTTGTCTGAACATGAGAAACAGTAAGGATAAAGATAACAGGAAGAGAACTTTAAGGACTGTGGACGGTATGGCAGCTACCTCGTACTCTCCCAAATAGCTGGCACAATGCAAGCCTCAAAATCACATCGGCCGGATGTAGCTGGATCTTCACACGAAGTGCAGAGTGTAGTATGAGTACAACCGACCCAATATACTCAATAAGTAACAACACTAACCTTGGGTTGAAAGAAGTGACAAGCTCAGAACAACACTCAAATGCCAGCACCGATAACCGATAACAGTTCAAAAAATACAAGATAAATCGTAGAAACAGTAGATCAATGATATCAAGTACAACTTGTTCTCATTTCAGAAATTTAGGCATACTTTTAAATATAATAGTTTAAAACCTAGCACGGATAAAGCAGGTCAATTACCAGTTAGGATGAGGAAAGTACATCTCTATGCCTACATGTCAAGTATACTCATAAATCAATAGTATCACAGTAAATTCATCAAAAGTATTTACACTTAGCACGGTACGGGTGCCTGGCATAACTGCCCATTATCAAGAACATATATGAAACATTGTGCCTGCGCCCACTTCTGGCATGTCAGGCTCCGGAGAGGCGGATCCTGCCCAAGCATTAATTATAATCATTTAGCCCAATAATGAAGTCTGGTGCATGTGTCACCCCAATACAATAACACTAAGCCCAATATGGGCCTGGCGCACGTGTCACCCCAAATCAGTACCAAACCGGCTCTAAGGCCCAAACTCAGTCATTTATTGTTCAAGTCTCAAATGAATACATCTCAAATACTCAATTAAACAGTTTCACCCTTAAGCGGTATCAACAATATGTGAGAAATCAAATAAGAGATACTGAGACAGAGTTATCATACACGGATATAGTATCATGACTTAGAATATGTGTGCAAATAAGGTATATAACTCAAAACGGCAAGAATAGCTTTAGCAAGTCTCACACAATTAGCACATAACCTAGATATGATGTCTAACATGATTTACAATTCAAATAATCAAACAAGTAGAGGGGATGCGGGGATAACATGATATGGTATTAAAACAAGTCAGGTATTAGCCTAAAGGCCTCCTCAAACCATGAACAGACTGGTGCATGTACACATTCTCGTCACCAAATGCGTACGTCACCCCAATATCTTCCATATAACGTAGTTCTTAGGGTTAAATACCCTTAAATCCAAGTTTAGATATATTACATACCTTAACACGTGCAAATAACAACTCCAACAAGCCCTTCCCACGCGTATCGGCCTCCAAAAACTTGAATCTAGTCACAAACAACTCGATATTAGTAATTAATGCCGTAGGAAATAACTTCAAACAATAAAATTTCGATGTTTATCAAAATTAAATAGTCAACCCAAAAAGTCAACCCTGAGCTCGCATCTCAGAACCCGAAAGAAAAATAAAAATTTCGGACACCCACTCGATTACGAGTTGAACCATAACAAAATCATCCGATCCCGACCTCAAATCGACCTTCAACCCTCCATTTTTTATTTTAAAAAGTTTCCACAAGATCCCTTATTTCTTCACTCTAATTCACTAATTAAATGCTAAAAATAAAGATGGAATCATGATATATTAATAAATCTATGTCAAAAATACTTACCCCAATCCAAGACGTGAAAATCCACTCTAAGATCGCCCAAAATCGAGCTCTACAAATTAAAATATTTAAATAATACTCTAACCCTCGATTTGGGATTTTAATATCTGCTGCCTAGTTGTTCCTCTTTGCGATCGCGGAAAGTCTCTCGCGATCACGAAGAACAAAATTCACTACCCTCCAAAATGGTCTACGCGAACGTGAACCACCAGTCATGAATGTGATACTCACCAACCTAGAAGTACGCAATCGCGGACAAAGACATGCGATGGCAGAGAACAAACGCGTGCAACTTCCAGACCTCACCTTCCTTCTTCGCAATCGCATCCCTTCTCCAGCGTTCGCGGTGCACAATCAACCAAAGTTCCGCGATAGCATCCTTAAACTCGCGAACGTGATTAACAACTTTTCACAACCACCAAACAACCCTTCGTGATCGCAGTCCTCTTTCCGCGATCGCGTATAAGAAACTTGATACAACAATATTCAGTAGTCCAACAGGTCTAAAATGAAGCCGAATCATACCTGAGGCCCCCAGGACCCTATCCAAACATACCAACAAGTCCTAAAATATGATAAGAATGTAGCTGAAGCCTAAAATCACATCAAATAATATCGAAATCACGAATCGTACCCCAATTCAAGCCTAATAAACTATTGAACTTCCAACTTCTAAAACTAATGCCGAAACATACCAAACCAACTCTGGTTGACCTCAAATATTGCACACAAGTCATAAATGACACAACGGATTTATTCCAACTCCCGAAACAAAATCAGAGCCCGGTAACAATAAAGTCAACTCTCGATCAAACTTCTCAACTTTCCAAACCTTAAAATTTCCAATTTTCGCAAATTCAAGCCAAACGACCTACGGACCTCCAAATCAATATCCAGACATACTCCTAAGTCCAAAATCACCATATGAAGCTGTCAGAACCATCGAAACTCTATTCTGGAGTCGATTACACATAAGTCAATGTCCGGTCAACTCTTTCAACTTAGACTTCAAACCTTGGGACTAAGTGTCCCAATTCATTTTAAAAAATCTCCGGTATCAAATAAACTACCCCGGCAAGTCACATAACCATAAATGAACATATAATAAGCAATAAATGTGGGAACGAGGCTATAATATTCAAGACGACCGGCTAGGTCGTCACACTTATAAAGCTCTTCACTTTTCTCTCCCGTTTCGATATGGGATTTGCCTAAGGTGACATGTGCATCTCTTCTTCAGAAACTTGCCAGCCTAGAAGCCTGACAGTCTTACTTGACCCACCCTCCATCATGGGTATCACATAAAAGATGTACCTCCTGCTATAAGGCTTGAAGCTTTGTCTTGGTCGAGCCTTATCGCGAACCAAGTCCGTAAAAATACTTTAATTTGGACAATGGTGTTTGGAGTATTACTGTCTCTTTTTCTTCTATATGTTCTTTTTCTTTTTCTTTACTTTGTGACTTTATTGCAGATAGGGGCGTGCGCAAAATCTTTCATAAGCGATGTCACACTATAAAGAAATCGACAAATGAATAAATTATTATAATAACAAGCGGTGTTATTTTTATATGTATTCCTATTATTTTTATTTTTCTTATAAATATTTAGTAAATTATTTTGATAAAGCGGTGTGCCGTGACACTGCATGGTACACGATGGTTGTAGAAATTTTGTATTTTAAGATTTTATTTTGTTAGGATAATATATAATATTATACAGAAGAAAATTCATACTTTAATTTAGACCGACTTATATATTCTTCAAATTAGTTATATCAAGATAATTATTTTTTTTATGCTCCACAACTGAAAAAATACATAAAGACCCCATTAAACTTGTCCAAAAAATTCGCTTGAATACTTAAACTAAGAGGGTGGTTTTTACCCCCTAATCATATTTTGAGTGAATTATATTATCCCCTCTATGACACCGGACCAAGCACGTGGAATCATATGACATATGGGCTCATTTTATACTAAATTTAACAGATAAAATTAATTAAAAAAGTAAATTATTTTAATATTACATCTACTTTATAAACAAGACCCAACGGTAGAAATCTCCACCCGATCCACTTCTTCCCCTCTTTGTCAAGAACCCTAAATCCCCTTCATCTTTAATTAGTCACAATTTATGGCCAAGATATGGAATTTCGAACAAAATTAAATCCTTGTATCTGAATCAAGGCCTTATTCTTCTATATAAGCTTTTGGTTTATCTGATTTTAGGGATTATTTTGAATGGTTCGAAATTTTTTCTTATTTTAGGGATTTTCTGTGATTTTTCTGTGTCGCACATAATGCAGTCAACTAACTTGGCTAGACTTTATATAGAAGATGATGATCATGTGTTGAATAAAGAAGTACGATACAATCATGAGTACGGGCTGGCGATGTTGACAACTTGGACTCCTAAGAGCCCCGGTAAAAGATATTGGATGTGTCTATACTATGGGGTAATAGAAGATTCATTAAATTTTTGTAATTTAGTTAAAGCTTTCATTAATTGAACTCTAATTAATTTCTTAATTTTCATCATTGTAGGTCCAAGCTCTTATGATTTCTGGCATTGGAGAGATGCTGAAATTAATCCAAGATCGAAATATGTTATTTCTAAACTGGTAGAGAAATTTGGTGAGCTTAAAAGTGCATTTAAAGTTTTTCAAACTGTTGAGAAGCCTAGGAAAAAAACAAGTGGAAAAGAAGATAGAGATGCAATTGGAGAAGTTGGAGGGAGAGGTTGAGAAGATAAAAGAAGAAGAAGTAGAGAAGGAGATTGATTATGTCCGGGATTAGGGAAAAAGTACTTTGGCTTTTTGTATTGTGTGAATGTGTTATAGCTATAAGCTATTGGTTTCATCTACTATATATGAAGAATAATGCAATGAAGTTGCCTTAGGCTTTGTTGTGGCTATAGTATCTTTAGTATTGCATCATTTAATTGTATCATCTTTTGTAAAAAACTTGGTGTAACTTTTATTGTAATATAATGTTCATTGTTCGTTTAGTTTGTTTTGTTACAATTGACAATGTGTGGTTCTTCAGTATAACTTGTAAGAACATGTATTGATATATAATGTACCTGGATATGTAAGTTACTTGCTGGACAGAAAAAATATAAAAATAGTCACCAAAATATAGATTTTGTATTAACAAAAGTGTAGTCATTGCTGCATATCATTGCAGAAAAACATAATTGCAAAAGTCCAACCAATGCTGCATATCATTGCAGAAAACAAACTTAGCAAAGTGCAGTCATTGCAGAATACATTTACAGACTGGACAGAAAGAACAGAAATATAATTACCAAAGTGCAAACTTTGTGTTAACAAAAGTGCAGTCATTGCTGCATATCATTTCAGAAAATAGTGCAGAAAATAGACTTAAAAACTTTCAGTCATTGCTGAATACAGTTACATACCATTTTCAGAAAATAGAAAATAGTTACCAAAGTGCAGACACATGCATAATGTCTTACATATACCAACTGCAGTTATTACTGCCAAAAATAAACAAAAATACTGAATTACCAGTAATATGTACTGGTTAATTGATTGTGGTGCTGATGAACTTGTTTGGCTCAAACAAACTCTTTCATATGCCTTGGACCTTGTCTCCATTCTTTTCTGAGCTTGAAAGTGTTGAAGTTTCCTTGAGGTTATAGCTTCTTTACCTTTCCATTTTACCCCTATTCTTGGTTTGTGTCCAACATCTCCAGTCACTACTGCAGAGTTTATAGGTACAGTTGATATTCCAAGCTATATTCACAAAATAAGATTAGTTTGTTTACAATCAAGTTTGATCACAAAGAGATTTCATAGTCACAATTCATATTCTAGTGACGACCCGATATATCGTTTTGAGTACTAGCTCCCCATTTTGTTCTTGGAAGCCTTTCATAGCTCAATTTGATGATTTATGACTTGCGTGCATGGTCCGTATCAATTTTCGAAAATCTTAAATGTGAATTTTTAAGAAAATATTATTTTTGTCTAGGAAAGTGGCAAGAGTTGACTACGGTCAATATTTTTGGTAAACGATACCATATTGGTATTTTGACGATTCCGGTAGGTTTGTATGATAATTTTGGAGTTGTACGCTAGTTGGTGTGGGTCCCAGGTGACCCGAGGCTGTTTCAGTACTTTATGTGAAAAGTTGGAAATTTTAGCTTTAACTTTGAAAATCTCGAGTTTTGATGATCGATTCTTGATTTTAGATGTCATTTTGAAGATTTGAGCTTACGAACGAGATTGTTTTATGTTAATATACTTGTGTAAATGTTCGGATTAGAGCCCGTGGGCTCGCGTGTGTTTCGGATAGGTTGTAGACTGTTATGCATAGCTATTATGTTTGCTGGTGTTGCTGGTATGCAGATTGCAAGCCTCGCATTTGCGAGACAATGCTCGCATTTGCGATGCTGGGCAGGGGCAGGGGCAGGAAGACTTCGCAGCTGCGATGTCCTTGCTTTTGTGAGCTGGAGGGTTATTGTGATTGCGAAGGATGTCTTGCAATTGCGATACTGGGCAGTAGTTGAACAGTTGTAATGACCCAAAATCTCAACCCGTCGTGATGGCACCTAAATCATCTACTAGGCAAGCCGACAATCACATAACAACTACGTATTTGGAATAAAAACATGATTTAATAAGCTCAACAGCAGAAATTCTCATAGATAACTGATAAAAACAAATGTAACTCAACTATAACAATCCCAAAATCCTAGTGTCACCGAGAACATGAGCTACTAAGTATCAATATAGTCTGAAACTCTAGTACAACTGTCTGCAAAAAATAAAACAGTGCTAAAATAAAATGAAAGAAAGGACAGTCAAGGTCTGCGGGTGTCATAGAAGCTACCTCGAAGTCACTGAACATATACTAGCATCACCCTAGCAATCACCGCGACCAGATGTACATGTATCTGCACACGAAGTGCAGAGTGTAGTATGAGTACAACCGACCCAATGTACTCAATAAGTAACAGGGCTAACCTTGGGTTGATAGTAGTGGCGAGCTCAGAAAGAGACAGTCCAAATCAGAATAATGACAACACAAATATAACAAGATAATGACAGTAGTATCTCAGAGAAACTTCCGTAGTCAGATCGTTGACAATACAGAAATTTAGGCATGCTTTCAAGTCAACAATTTAAGCCCAACACTAATAAAATATGTCGAATATATCTAGCATGAGGAATGTTACATCTCTATGCCTATATGTCAAATATGCATATCAAATGTAATGTATCATAGTGAGAATCCCAAGCACTCACATTCTCAGAGTACTCAATTTTTCTATATCATTTCTCACTCTTCACACACAATCACTCAGCACTGTATTGGTGCCTGGCATCAATGCCCCTCAGCAAAGCACGTGTATATAAATCACTGTGCATGCGCTAACTGCTGGTATGTCAGACCCTGGAGGGGCGTATCCTGCCCAAGTGCTAATATAAAGCCTATAAGGCCTGCTGCAGCATGCAGCCCGTTCAACGATAATAAATAAGCCAATAAGGCCTGTTGCAGCGCGTAGGCTGATCAACAATAACACTCACAATCCGGCTCTAAGGCCCAACTCAGTCATCAATCTCTCCAGTCTCACGGGCTCACAAGTCTCATACTACTCAGCCCTAATAATGATAATATAATATAACAGTAAATGATAACAGAGACTGAGATATGATATGCATATGAATAAACATGACTGAGTACATGATTGCAGTTTAAGAAAATAACTCAACAGTAGAAATAACCTCAGTGGATCCTAACAGAATAAGCACATAGCCTACACATGATTTCTAACATGAATCGCAGCTCAATTACTCTAACACGTATGAAATACACGGAGTAAATAAGACTAAATAACTACACAGCACCACTGAATCAACAGAGTCATTATTACAACGGTGCACGCCCACACGCCCATCACTTAGCATGTGCGTTACCCCAACACCAACCATATAACACGTAATCTAGGGATTCATACCCTCAGTACCAAGTTTAGAAGTGTTACTTACCTCAAAATGCGCAACTCAATGCTCCAACAAACCCTTGCCTCGCGAATCGGCCTGCGAACGGATCGAATCTAGTCACAAACAACTTAATATAATCAATACAAACTATAGGAATCGATCCCATACGATAAAGCTAAGTTCCTTAATAAAATTCAAAAATTCAACCCTGGGCCCATGCCTAGGAACTCGACAAAATTTACAAAATCCGACCCATTCAATAACTGGTCCAACCATATCAAAATCATTCAGTTCTAACCACAAATCGACCCTCAAACCTCCAAATCTTACTTTTCAATACCTAGTCCAAAATCCCCTAAATTTCACCTCAAAAATACATAATCTAGGTGGGAAATTAATGGGTATTCAATATTAATGGACAAAAGTGATGCAAAATTTGCTTACCTCTTGATTTGTAGTGAAATCCCTCAAAATGGTCACCCCTAGCCGAGCTCCACAAGTGATACTCTAACCCACGATTTAGGGTTTTTAAATCTGCCCAGGTACATATCATTCGCGAACGGGGAAAATGCCTAGCGTTCGTAAGGCACAAAATTTCCCAACTGAAAAACCTTCTAACGCGAACGCGACATCCCAGCTGTGAATGCGATGGCCTATGACCCAATTCCTACGCGAACGCGATCCCTCTCTCACAAATGCGAAGCCAAAATGCCTGGTGCCCAAGCCGGCCTCATCCTTCTACGCGAACGCGAAGCCCCTCTCGCGATCGCGATTAACAAACCCACTAGACCTTCGCGAACGTGTGGCCTTATTCACGAACGCAAAGAACAAAACCTCTTGCCCTTGAACAACTCTACGGGAACGCGATCTCTTCATCATGTACGCGATGAAGATTGCACCAGACACCAGATCAACAGTTCTATAAGGCCAAAACTCGATTCAAAATCAATTCGAATCTCACCCGAGGCCCCGGGGACCCCATCCAAACTTACGACACATTTTGAAACATCATACAATCTTAGTCGAAGCCTCAAGTTACATAAAACAACATCAAAAACACAAATTGCACCCCAATTCAAGCCTATTGAAACTAATGGATTTCCAACTTCTAAAACTAAATGGCGAAACATATCAAACCAATTCCGATTGACCTCAAACTTTGAACACAGGTCATAAATGAAACAACGGACCTATTCCAATTTTCGGAACCAAAATCCAGGCCCGGTATCAATAAAGTCAACTCTCGGTCAAACTTCTCAACTTTCCAAACCTTCAACTTTCGCCAATTCAAGCCAAAATGACCTACGAACCTCCAAATCATTATTCGGACATACTTCTAAGTCCAAAATTGCCATACGGAGCTATCGGAACCATCAAAACTCCATTTCGAAATCGTTTACTCATAAGTCAACATCCGGTCAACTCTTTTAATTCAAGCTTCCAACCTTGGGACTTTGTGTCCCAATTCATTATGAAACATCCCCGGAACCAAACCAACTACCCCAACAAGTCACATAACCACAATTGAACATGGAATAAGCAATAAATGGGGGAACGGGGCTACAATACGTAAAACGATTGGCCGAGTCATGACATTTTCCCCTCTTAAATAAATATTCGTCCTCGAACGGGTCTAGAATCATACTTGGAGTCTCAAATAGGTGTGGATAGACGCTCCACATCTCCCGCTCCATCTCACAAGTAGCCTCCTTGACTGGATGACCTCTCCACTAAACTTTCACTGAAGCTATATTTTTGATCTCAACTTCTGAACTTGCCGATCCAAAATGGCCACCGACTTTACATCATAAGTCAAATCTCCATCTAATGAAACTGTGCTGAAGTCCAAAACATGAGATAGATCACCGTAATACTTTCGGAGCATGGAAAAATGAAATACTAAGTGAACACTCGATAGACTAGGTGACAATGCAAGCTTGTAGGCCACCTCTCCAATCCTCTCAAAAGGGCCAATATACCAAGGGCTTAACTTGCCCTTCTTCCCGAACCCCATCACAACCTTCATGGGTGAAACTCTG